GCTGAACGCACTGACAAACCTTTTTATGGAATACCACAGGAGTACAATAAATCTCAAAAAGATGTGTGTTTAAATGACAAATGACAGTAAAATCGTTAATGGTCAAAGGTAAATTTCAGTCTCCGTTAGAAGGTTATACCTATACATTTAATAAAAAAAGCAAATGGCTAAACGAAATGTGAAGTACTATGCTGTTTATGGAACAATTATGCTTCTAGCAGCAACATAAACTAACTACTTAAAGGATTTCAAAGTAAGTAACAGCTGCAGATATTTCTGTAAGTGTAAACTGGATTCTGCTTGTCACAATCCAAACATGTACTTACACATTTAAGGAAAAGAGAATTTAAAACGTCGTATAGGAAGGGGAAATAAATGTATTGGGCATATTTATGGTTCCATAATAAAACCTTCCTACATTTATGAAGGGGAAGGCAATGTTTACAGCTTCTCATAATTTATTTTGGCCTCAAAAACTATTCAATATAAGTTATATATTGGTATAATAAAGTGCAGATTATCTAGGTTTAGACTTAACCACTCTAGTGATGTACATATTTTTCTTTGTTCAGGAACCATTGCCAACAGAGAGCACTGTGTCTCACTCAGATCTACGACTACTCATATATTCAGGTAAAACTCCCTCTGAATAACTGTACTGCAAAACTGCTAGTTCAGCACATTGAAATGAACACTATTATACTATTTTCTTTAATAATGAATCATTGCTGCCAGTAAATAATTGAATGTGGATAGATTTTTATTTGCTTTACCTGGCTGCCTAAACACATTTCCACTCCCCTGCTTATAGCATTTTCAGTGAAGTCAGCCATAACGCTGTGTCACGCTTTCATTTCCTAAGCAAGGGGCGTAACACTGCTCGCCTGATACACAGGAGAGAGAGTCTACCAATTCCTAGTAGAAACAGGGGTTGTCAGTCATTCAGCGAAAGCGTGACTCAGCAGCTGCTTGTTCGGTAAAAGTACTCTGCACACAGGAGATAAACAGGAGGGGCGATGTTTTTCCAAGCAAAGAAATTCTCTGATATGTATATAAACAAAAATGTCCTTCCCACCATACTGAATTTATGTAATCGTTTCTTCACTAATTCATTTCAAATCTTCCCACTGCATATAAGGGAGGCTGTATAAACTGGTTTATTTAACCATTCATAATTTTTTGCCAGGAATTGATCCATGCAGATTTCTCTGACTAAATTAAAGATGTCCATTTTGCTCACTGAAAAACCGTACACATTCAGGTAGGACTGTGATTTTTCTTTGCACAAGCAAAAAGTTCACAAATGGTGCTCATAATTATTTAAAACTAAAAACCATCTTTCCAAAATAAAAAATAAATGGCTACAAGTTTTCTACACATGGACACCAGCCAACTTAGAATACACAGACCTCCAGCAAATACTCAATCTAAAAAGCCAGGGAAAAAGTCCTTCCTCAAAACATTCAGATGCACATACATCAGCCTGAACACAGAACAAGGTCAAAAAATGTAAAGGTAAAATCTGCTTACCGCCACTTTATAGGAGGCGCCAGGTCTAAAATTTATTCTCTAACAACCGAGAAGACACCTATAACATCTTCATTTTCTCTAGTACAGGAATCCAGGGGAACTGAAGATACAAAACAGTTTCTACCCATCAGATTGACTACGGCTCCTCGGCTTCAAGGAAGATGACTATGCAAAGTACAATAAAGGTACATAGAGCCCAACTCTTACTGGGCAAAACTTGGGGATCTCAAATGAACTCATCAGGAAGAAGTCTGGGGAAACAAAATAACAAATGGAAGAAGTTTTTGTAAATGCCTAAGTAAGCTTTGTCACCGCTTCTGATAAATACCAAATTAAACGTGGATTCAAAAGTGATTCAACGATTTCATGCAGATGAGTACCAGAAACTATTAAATACAAACATGAGGATACAGCCTTTGGCTCAGTAAAGGCTAAACGTGAGACTGCTAGAACATACAACTGCATGCCCCTGTGCTCTTTCCTACCCTTTGTCATGGAGGAATCCTCTACTGGCCACTGCCAGAGAAAAAGTATCAGATTTTAGGGATCTTTTGCGATATTGTCAACAGCCATTCTTCTGCTTTATGAACTGCAGATGAAAAGTGGAATTTTAAGTTCAGTAGATAACAGTTGTTGTCCACAAAGTCCTCAAGTCCTCAAATTATTTAGGAATATCAGCAGTTTTACAAAAAAAAAAAAAGGTAATACATGCAATTTTACATGCATACATTTACAGAATGGAGATCCAATTATAGTATGGCTTTATTGCTATCTGTGCTATATAATTTAGCAAGAAATACTGAGTGAGGAGCTGATTTTGCTGGTTCACTGAGGTTTTGTTTTCCATCAAAGTATAGTGGTTGTTGATCTCCTGCCCTAGTTTGCCTTTTTTTGCCCCATCAGTGCTTTCACGCTTGTTCTAACTGGTAAAGCACAGAAACGTCTTGGTCACGACACAATTATTCCAGTTTTGTTACTTTCTGCATACAGCCCTTGCATAGAGCCTAGAGAACCCTGTCTGATTTCTTAAACTTACACTATTTTTAAGGGAGACACAAAAATGCAAGTGACTTTTCCAAGATGTGAAGCATTATTTAGTTTACAAACAGTATCCTAAATATCTCCTGACATAAGTGTTGCTGATGTACAGACTGCTGTAATTATGGCAATAACATCTCTGGAAATCCAAATGTATATCCTGAATTGTACTCTCTGCCACCAGCAAATGGTAAAAGAACAAAAATAGTAGTTCTTATTCCCGTAAGGTTCTAAAAAAAAAAGTGGAATGGCTTATAGAAAATGACAGAGTTTCAGTTAATTAACAAATACCATTCCCAAAGCTTTTCTTCACTTGTACTACACAAACAAACAAAAACAAACAAACAAAAAGACTTACAAACTCATGTTGATTTCACACAGGAAAAAAAAGATCAGTGTTTGTTGAATGGAAAAGATGAATCAAGATTAATAGAAAAATGCTATTTTTAAATGCCCTAAAAATGTTGCAGAGTTAAAAATATACAGCAGAAATTATTTTTATAGCAACTGCCAGTGTCCATTTAAGGCTGACAGTTTCTTGTGGATGAGCAGTACTATATACCTCACGCAGCACCCACTGTTTTGAGTCTATTGCAGTATAACTGCATAATCAGATAGCTTTAAAACTCAGAATCTCTGAGTTTTTGGCTTAAATCCAGGTTATAATTATAGTAAATGTACTAGTTTTTAAAAGAATGCTGCTGCTTATGTTCTTAACATAGTGATTTTGTTGTTTTCATATTGCAAAACTGAAACCAGACTAAAAAACTAGGGTAAACACAGAGGGAAAAAATTAAGGCTTAAACTGAGTTTAATATGTAACTCCAACTCACCATCATAAAGCCCAAGAGGCAGGATATGCAATCCTGCATTCCTTACGCACTCGTAATACCTCTTGGCTTCAGTGGCAGTTTTGTTTGAGAAAGCATATAATCAGAACCTATAATTTCATTAATTGCACGCCACAGGCGGTCCATGTGAGGTAAGAATAATGAACTGAACTTGTTGGAAGGACGGTGGAACCCTCAGCCCCGCCTGCATCTTTGTGGACCACTGAGTCCATGCAGCAAAGCTGTGACTCCTCATTTTCCCCACTCACCCACACTTCCACCTCTTCCTCGTGACAGATTGTATCTGTCACGTAGAGATCACTGTGCAGATGCTTCACTCGCGGCACAATAGCTCTCGGGTCTCTGTCACCATTCTGCATTACCACCCTTCCCCAGACTCCCAGCAGTAGCAAAGATTTCACCCAATACAGATCCTTAGTCTGTTGGGATTTTTATATTATTCATACTAGCCACAGGCAAAATGAATGTTATGTAGCTATTAGTACAGATTGCTTTGACATAACGTATTACGTATTTCATTAGGTATCCTTTAGGCAATTTAGGAAGTATCATCTAAAAAACATGTGCACAGACTTGACTTTTACAGTATTACTGTACACATAACTTTTCAATGCATACCATAAACATAAATGACTCTACCGGGCATGCGCTACAGACAGTTCTACAGTATTCCACAAGGTTTGTTTATATATGTAGAAAGAAATAGCATGAAACAAGAACCTCCCATATTATAAAGGCAATTTATTTGCTAAAACACGCACAAAGAAAAAACACTGGCACTTGCCAGCTACCACTTCTTTTTCTAAACATAAACCCAACTAATTCAATTTAAAAAGAAACTGTTCGCAGGCTGAGAACTGGTAGGCCATGTTACAGCAAGGGGTGAATCCCCAGTGTAGACTCAGCTGCAAACTGGTGTTCAGAAGCGCATAGCAGATAGCTCTTCAGCTACAAAACCCCTGTTACCTCCCAGTATAATAAACTGAAAGCTCTCATTCGTTTCTACCTGTATATAACTAAAGGCAACTCAATTTTTACAACACCTAACAACTAACTTATAGTTGCTTTTACAACATCCTTACAATAGCATATATCTTATTTCTGTTTCTCTAGTTTTGCTTTGTTTTGAAAGTGTAAAGCGTCATCCCCTAAATGATTATAAGGTCTTTCCGCAAGGGAAATCTGACTAAGAACAAGACTCATAACCCATAGCCCTGTATTAAAGAAAATACAGAAACCTGTTTTTTCAGTATTTAAAAAAAAAAAAAAATCTTTAGCAGTCTTTAGTCTACAGAATTGTGCTGGGTTATCTTATAAATATATAAAGTAGAAAGGGAATCTCCCGATTAAAAAAAGACAGAAAAAAAGTTCATTCTCAATTACCCCAAAGGCTTAAACTTTGTACAGAAGCTTGCAATGAGTAAATGCACACAAAAGAAGAAAATAAAAGCCAAACAAATGGAACGTATAAAGATGAGGGTGACTGAGGGATAAGGAGGATGAAAAGAAAGGCAAGGAAAAAAGAACGTAAGAACACTAAAAAAAAAAAAGGAGAAAGAAAAGCAAGACAATGAAAACAAATGAATAGCTGAAACTATGATGGGAGGAACTGATGAATATTAACTTTTATTATTCTGATTACAAAATACATTTCAAAATTGGATGAAATACATTGTATGTATGTTTTGCCAAGGACATTCTTGGCAATTACAAAGTCAGGAAAATTATAATTCAATCAGTGAGGCATTACTTAAAACCACTTGAAAAAGCAGACCATTTGAACCATCAAATAGGCTGCATGGGTAAAGATTTTAAAGACTCGATATTCTGGAGCAGCGCAGACTGCACTCACCATGTTGCACAGTGAACCTTCCAATAACAGGGCCATTAGATAAATAGCATTTTTTTCTTTGAATTTATTTTACCCATTTGTCATCTCATAAATGAGCAACTAAGCCTCATTATCTTTTTCCATATAAAATGAGGGCAGTTCTAGTAAAACATTTTCAAGCACTTGTACAGTAAAACTTCTATTTTGCTATAAAATCTGGTTTTAACTTTTTAAAAACTGTTCGTGGTCACTAGATCACATCTACGAAGATGGCTTCTGCATTTATCAGATGCACATGGGACACTGCCATGCACCAAATCTTGTGTGCTTGCCTTGAAAAGGATGCTATAGTCCTAAAAACGTTAGGGCTACATCACCGCGGTTGTTGTGATAGGAGCAAAACCGACAATAGAGAGGTGACCTTGACCTCTCCTCTCATGTAAACTGTAATTTCACAGAACTGCTAACACATGAAGAATGGGACTGACCGAAAAATGTGCAAGGCATTCACTGTTCCCATTCAAAAAGGTGCATGACCTGGCTTCCCCCTAGTAATGCTTATTTACCTATTACCGTGATTGCAGTTTTAAGTGGAGCTGTGCAGGCTTAACACATCAGACTGCTGTAGTCTTTGCAAATTGACTTTTTTAAAGAGGGCGGCGAGGCACTGGGACAGGATGCCCAGGGAAGCTGTGGCTGCCCTATCCCTGGAGGTGTCCAAGGCCAGGCTGGATGGGGCTCTGAGCAACCTGGTCTAGTGTGCCTGCCTATAGCAGGGGGATGGAATTAGATGATCTTTAAGGTCCCTTCCAAACTAAACCATTCTATGATTCTCCGATTTTCGGCAGGACCGCAAACACCGGCCACGGGCACTCCGGTTGCGCCTTTGAATTACTTCACGGCCGTGAGCCACACCTCGCCTTACCCGCAAGAGCTGGCAGCTCGGTCCCGGGACCCCCCGACCCGGCAGCTGGGTAGGACGGGAGCGAGTTCAGCCCCAAAACGCCCCGCGCTGACCTGCGAGGCGATATCAAACCCCGC